TTGTCTCATCTTTGGTTCCATACTCCCCATTCACCTGCCGAATAATCAGCAGTAAATCACTAAAAGCAACTAGATTCTTGATCTGCAACTCTTTAGCCAGCTTTAGTCTAACCAGTAACGCTTCGTACTCAGCCTCATTATTAGTTGCGTTAAACTCAAGTCTGATCGCTTGGCTCAATGTGGTGCCCTCTGGTGTTTAGAGCTTGATCCCAATCCCTGCTCCCATTTGATTTGAAGAGCCATCAACAAAGAGCTTCCACAAAAAGTCTCCACAATCTTCTTCCAAGTCTTCTGAATCACACTCCAGCAGGAAATCAGATACTACTTGACCCTTGACGGCCGTTCTGGGTTCGTATGCTATGTCAAATGAGCTCAACTCTATGGCCCACTTTGTCATTCTACCTGACAGATCTGGCTTATACAGAATCATCCTTATTGGAAATGTAATCAGAACAACGATAGGATGGGATTCAAAATAATGCCTGAGTTTCCTCTTTGCATTCACCAATGACAGGATCATTCGTTCAGCCTTTGAATACCTTCTTTCCAGCTCTGCTAACATTGAACATTGGGAACTACTTTCCTTCTTTACAACGGATCTGAACGGCACTTGTTGCAATACTGGACACACCAAGGTACATAAAATGTTTTTCACCTGGTTCAGGAGCAGATAAGACTGGAGGGTTCCGTATATATTCTTTCAAGCTGGTTAGCGCCTGTCATTGCTCATCCCCCCAGGCCTACCTTCCATGACCTTATATTGTATCAAAAAATAGCTTACAGTAATCTGAAAGCTTAGAAATAAACCGACTTAGTGCAGTTATTCGACCTGTTATCGCTTGTACCTCTTTAACCATTTTTGGTTCTGTATTTTTTATCAGAGCTTGTGCTTGGGCTGGGCTAGCCTCTATTCCCCTATGATTGACCACGTGCCCCAAGAATTGACCGGAGCTCACACCGAACGAACATTTAGTTGGATTAAGCCTCATTCCATACTTCTTCAACACACCGAATACATTTTGCAAGTGTTCAAGGTGATCATCCTTCTTCTTACTTCTCACCACCATGTCATCGATGTAAGCTTCCACAATCTTCCCCATTTGATTTTTAAAAATCTTGCTGATCAACCTCTAATAAGTAGCTCCAGCATTCTTTAGCCCGAACGGCATGACTTTGTAGCAATAGGTTCCTCGCTCGGTGACAAAAGAGGTTTTTTCTTCACCAATCGGGTCCGTAGGGATCTGATTGTATCCTGAGTAAGCATCAAGGAAGGTTAACCGTGCGTATGTAGTAGTGGCATCCACCATTTGATCAATCTTTGGTAGTGGAAAACTATCCTTCGGGCAGGCTTTGTTCAGATTGGTGAAGTCAATACATACTCTCCATTTCCCATTCTTATTCTGCACAACAACGACATTGAAGAGCCAAGACGGATAATGAACTTCCCTAATGAACCCTGTATCCAGCAGACGATCAATCTCTTCAGCTATGATTTGGTTATGCTCTGGGGCAAACCTTCTCTGCTTCTGCCTTACAGGCTTGGCATTCGGGTCTACACTGAGGCAATGACAAGACACGAATGGGCTGATTCCTGGCATATCTGAATGGCTCCAAGCGAACGCATCTGCGCTTTGGGTCAGGAAATCAAACCCTTGTTTCTCCCCCTCTGCAAGTGTAGAGCCCACTCGAGTAGTTCGGTCTGGCTTCTCACGATCAATCTGCACGTCAACGAGAGGTTCTTCGGTCTGGGCCAAAAGCTCCCCCTCCCCATTTTGGTTGGGTGGAGGTTCATGTAATTGCTATCTTGGGCTAGCAAACATGATGGGTGCTTTTCCCTTTCCAGCAGATTTCAAGGTTATAAAATAGCACTCTTTGGCCGCGACCTGGTATCCATAGATATCAATCACTCTGTTCCCATCGGGCCCAAACATCTCATCACTTGATGAAGAGTCGATGGAACACCTTGGATCATTTGTATCCATCCTCTTCCCATCAAAAGGTTGTAAGATGGATGGATCTCAACGACCACAAAGCTTTCTGTCAGAACTCTTTCAGCAGTATGCACTGTCAATTCCACTATACCAATGGGTTCTACCCGTTTCCCATCGAACCCCAATAACGAATTTCCCGTGTGTTTGAGCCTTTCTGGCTTGATCTCGAGCCGGTCAAACATTACCCTGGGCATGACATTCGCACTACTCCCTGGGTCAATCAGGACTTACCGTACCAGGCACTCTGTAACCGTTAAACTGACAACCAGTGGATCTTCATGAGGGGTCTGAACGCGCAACAGGTTTCATCTGTCAAACTTTATTTGTGCGAATGTACTCTGTTGGTGCAGAGCGTGCACATTGCCTATCTTTCTCTTCATTTGCACTTGGTGGAGGCGTGTCCTGAGCAGCTCTTTTGACTCTGCTGTTTGTTCAGGTCGGCCATGAATTGCATTAATAATCCGAACGGGCTGAGCGTTGTGGTAATTCAGAATCTGATTTTTCTTGACTTGCTCAGCCGATCAGCTCTGCTTCCGTACTGGCCCCTAAACATATCCTACAAACTCGCCCCTTGCGATCAGCATCTCCACTTTCCTTCTTAAGTTCCTGCATTCATTAATCTAATGACCAAAGTCACTATGGAAAGCACAATGTTTAGATTGGTCTCTCTGCTCGAGAGGTTGCCTAATTGGTAATGGAGGGCAAAACCTATCTTTATTCTCTTGATATAGCCTTGCCAGAGTTTCTTTGAGTGGAGTAACCAACTCTTCCTCTCTAGGCCTCTTCTCTGCCTTCCAGGAGTTCTAACGTTGTGGTGGAACTTATTTTTGCCAGATCTTGGTTTTGGACTTTTCTTCTGTTGAAATAATCGACGTCTTCCTTGGATTGGCTGTTTCTTCTTCCTCTAAACGCATGAAACTATTAGCTCTCTCATTTAGCTCGTCCATGGTCTTTGGCGTATTAACCACCAGACTCGTGTGGAACGGTGTCCCTAGGTTCATTGCTAGCTTGAATGCTTGGACCGCTGTAGAGGGATAACACTCTATATCATACTCTTAACGAGGTTAAACCTGGTGAAGAAAGCTTGGAGTCGCTCGTCTTCGTGCTGCTTCATTGTAAACAGGCTTGAGACGTCTTTGGCTGGGCACTTGTTCCTATAGTATTAGCTTATGAACTTGTCACACAAGTCCTGGAAGCTTGCGACTAAACCTTTGGCCAAATTCTTGAACCAGTTGAGCGCTGGTCCGGTCAGGCTTGTAGGAAAGTACTTACACATCAAAGGATCATTCTCCGTGTTCAGAACCATCTTCAGCTGGATATAGTAAACATGATCGATCAGATTAGTCGTTCCATCGAACATGATGAAAATTGGTATAAAAAATTTCCTCAGATTCGGAGCGTTCAGAATCTCATAAGTAAACGGTGAATCAACTGTTCGTGCTGACGAATGGAGGGCCTCGTTCTCCCTTGGAAGCTTTGCAAAGATCCTCTGATTTGCAGATCTATCGTCGAAAACTCTATAATCATACGTAGCCATTGAAGGCCGATAAGGTGGATTGAATGATCTTTCCTCCGTAAGCTCGTTCTGCCATAGCGATGTAGCCCTGTGATGTCCAGACTCCATGGCTTCTTCACGCCTGATCCGCTCGTGATGCGCATCAGGATTAATAGATCCTTCTCGGTCCTCCACTCGATGAGCTGATAAATCGCCTAGCCCGATCTCCTCGCGGTGATGATCCACGTAATTGTTCCGTTCCTGTTCGCCCTGGTGAGCAACATCAGGTGGCAATACACGCTCCCCTACTAAAGGTGGCCGTGGAATCGCCGGAGCCTCCCGATGTTCCATTCCAGCTCGCAACTCTGCATTCTCTCTTCTCAGAGCTTCGATTATGTTCATTAACTCATCTAGCTTTATCTGCTGGCCATTCTCCGGTGGATTTGAGCTCTCTCCTCCGATCATCATTCCTGATCGGAGCAAAGTCATTAACCGCAATTTGTGATCAAATCTGAGCTCTGCTGATGCGAGCGAACTAGATCTACACTTGAATTAGCTGAATCCCGATCTCGATTGGCCGGATCTGAACTACTCCTGCGGCGAGTTCGTCTAATTCAGCAATCTAAACAAATCTCAACTGCATAAATCAACTCAACAAGCACAGATCAGGACTACGTAGATCAAACGTTAGTTTCTCGGAAACAACTGGAATCAAGACTCTGCAAGATGAATCATAATCTCCCTGATCTCGATCCAACTTTCAGAGTTCCAGCTCCTCCTCTTTGAACTAGCCTTGATCAAATCTGCCTTTATCGAACTCAGATCAATCTTCATCGATTCTCACAGACGGCGCCATTGAAGATGCAAGAAATTTTCCCTTTCATATTAGGAAAAATAATTCTACACTTCAAAATTTTCAACCCCTTTTCCTTCTACTTACAACCTATTTATAGACTGTTACAGACTTTCTAGATATTTTCTAACTAACTTCCTGAGCTGGGCTGTTCTTCTGGGCTTCTCTTTACTTTGGGCTTAGCTACTTCCTTGCAAAAAACCGGGCTTCCCACTCAACTGAAATGATCCTGGGCTTGATTAATTAAGATTCAGCCCAGAATGGTAGTCCTTATCCGCCCCACTTGTGACTACCTGGATCGTACCCGGCCCAGGTTATTTTGGGTATCCTCAAATCTTTTATACACATTACGAGGGAGAGAGAGATGAGAACTGTGTGGATAGAAAAGCATTAAATCAAAGAATAGGGGTATTATAGACTTTCTAGTTTGTCCTAACAACCCCTTCTGACCATGATTTGACTTTTCTTATTTATTATTAATTAGGATCATCAAATCCAAAGTAAGAGTCCCAGTAGACTTGGGATTCAATGTATCTAACCATGCTCAGAAGAGAGGTTGTGTTAAAAACAATCATTCTCTAACCAAAAGTCAATAATACTAAAATAGTGGTAAAATAGCTACGTACTTGGTGGAATTTACCCGTTATTTACTCATGAAGGGTCTCCTTCAATGTAAACCAAATATATATAATACACACACATGTACACCTACCTAAAAGCAATCTACCACTTTTGTGAGTCTGAACTCATAAGATATGATCATCATGCACTAAACATATCATTCCCACACACACACATATATATGTATCTAGATCGATACAAGTTACAGCTGTTCCATATGTTCTCTCTTTGTGAATAATCAGCTCTTTTTCTTTCTTTTTTTTGGTGGGTTCATCACCAATCAGCTCACATGTCTGATAATCAAAGATCGTCGTTAAGTTCCAGAGACAAAGTCTCCCAGTACCTCGGCATAGTCCTCAATCCGGACGGCACGATCACACGCGTCCACCAAGTCCCGGTGGTCCCTGCATCAGCCGATCCCAGCTCTCCCTCACCCGTCCTCACCAAAGACCTCCCTCTCAACACAGAACACCACACGTGGGTGCGTCTATTCCTGCCCCGGCAAGCACCTGATAACTCCTCCACAAGAAAGCTGCCCATTGTCGTCTACTACCACGGTGGTGGCTTCATCATATGCGCCGCAGACTCGAACATTTTTCACGACTTCTGCACCGAAATGGCGGTCCGACTCGGCGCGGTGATCGTATCGGTCGAGTACCGTCTCGCTCCGGAGCACCGCCTCCCGGCGGCCTACGATGATGCCGTGGAAGCGCTACACTGGATTAAAAGTTCCCACGATGAGTGGTTGCGCGATTTTGGTGATTTCTCCAACTGTTTTCTCATGGGCACCAGTGCTGGTGCCACCATGGTGTACCACGCTGGACTACGTGCAGCCGTGGCCGTTGATGATCTCCGGCCGTTGAAGATCAAAGGGCTGATATTGCATCACCCTTTTTTCGGTGGGTCCGAGAGGACAGGGTCGGAGTTGAGGCTCGTCAACGATAGGATATTGCCGCTGTTTATTACTGATCTGATGTGGGAACTGGCTTTGCCAATAGGTGCTGACCGGGATCATGAGTATTCTAATCCAACGGCTGTGATTGGAGGAGTACAAGCTTGTGAACAGTTTAAGATGCTGGGGTGGAGGGTTATAGTGACCTGCTGTGACGGAGACCCTCTGGTTGACCGGCAGATGGAGTTCGTGAAGGTGTTGGAAAAGAAGGGTGTGCAAGTGGTGTCAAAGTTTAGTGAGGGAGGTTGTCATGGATTTGATCTTGAACCGTCCAAAGCTGTGGAACTATTTTCAGTTGTGAAAGATTTTATGTCACCGTCGGTGAGTGCTTAGAAAATCCTAGTTGTACCATATTACGTCAAGCCATCTGGCTGGGCCTACGAGGTTGTGTCTTAATTAATGCATGTTTGTACTCTTTTGATAGAAAATTTTAATTGTTCATGTCACAATGATCATATGATATTACAAATGATGTGACTGCCTAAAATATAAAATAAAATACTTTTATTTATGTGTTAAAAATATTAAATATTAACGTATTAAAATATTAAAGTGTAAAGAAGTATTTCTCATAATTTTAACTTTAAAAATTAATAATTATTTTTTTCAAATACTAGAAGTATTATTTTTGTTTTCAATTATTATAAAATCTTTTTATCTCCTCTATTTCTTGATTAACTGTACTTTTATTTTAACCCCTTTTTTTTTCTCTTGCTTCCTCCTATCCAAACTTTTTCTCTACTTTTGTACTAACTTTTGTTTTCTCTCACTCATTTTTTTTATTTTAGTAAGTAACAACGAGAAACTGATTCGGGAATGGTAATTTGTTTATTTATTAATTTTATTCTATTTTATGCTTTAAATTTATGTTTGGATTTTTTGTTTCCCTATGTGATTTTTAAGATTTAATTTGGATGGTAAGAAAAGATAAAGTTTATATGGTATTATAGAATGAGAAAGGATGTATTAACAAGTTTAAGGATTTTCTTATCATTTTTTTAAAGGATAAAAGAAAAATGGAGTGCAAATTGTATAAAAGTGGATTAAACTAAAGAAAAATGTATTAAACTTGAAAAAAAATAAACCATCACAGCACTATGGATCCACTAAGGATCTTTTTTATTGTATTAGTTGGGAATGAATTAAAAAATTTATCCCTAGTGGATCCGTAGTGCTGTGATGGTTTATTTTTTATAAGTTTAATATAAGAAACTAAAATTGGTAATATTAAAAATTAAAAATAAATTAGTACATTAACTTATCAAATAAAATAATTATTTTGGGATAATGAAAAGGTGGACAGTTATTTTGAGACAATAAAATATATATATATATATATATATATATATATATATAAACCTACTTAGGCTTTTCCTTAGTTTAATTAAATATTAAATTAATTATCAATTTCTTAGTAAAGGTCCTGAAACTATAACTTTTTTTTCCTCAAGTTTCGTCGCCCTTTCTCCTTGATTCATGTACTTGAAAAGAAAAAGAAATAAGGTGAGATATGTGATACCCCTCGATTCCGGAATACAGGTCGATCAAGTCCGAGCACGACACCAAAGAAATATGAAACAATTAAGGTAATAAACAAGCATCGAATACAAAAAATAATAATAAATAAATAAATAAATAAAGCTGAAACAAAACTAAAGAATAAAATCCTCCAATAAATAATCCAATAGAATTAATTCTCCAATAACGGATACGTCAATGTGACTCGAAAGTTGACCTGATAACGGATTCGGAATGTAGAAGCGACAATAAAACACAAATTCGGTGAAAAGAAAACAAATGCGGAAGCAAAACGATAAAAATATACCAAGTATGCCCCCAAGGGCAAAATAGTCATTTCACATACAAATAAAGTCTCAAGAGATGTACGTCATCCTTAAGACACAAACATGGCTTCTCATGAAAGTATGGAACTTAAAAGAAAACAAAATGCGGAAGCGAAATTTTAAAAACGGACAAGTTTAGGCCTAGGGGCAAAATCATAATTTTTAGAAAGTTATGGGTGCTACCGAGCACACCATTGGGTAGACAGTGAAAAATTAACGAAGTTCAAAAAAAAGTTCACCCCCCTTCGGCCGCTGATACCAATAACCGTCTAGATTACAACTCAGAAATCCATCATGTGAACCCCTAATAAAATCTCAACTAAAAATCCTAACTGAAAACTGAAGTAAAGAAACTAAAATAAAAGAAGAATCCTATATAAATAAGTGATGAAGACTGTGTTTGCTCAGCACGAACAATCTCAAAGTCTAGAACTGACGAAAACCTAAAAAATAATGGTGGGTCAGGCCCACAAACAAGTTCTACTCTACTACAATCCAAACAAAGACCCGATACTCGTATACATCCTAGTCATCTCAACAATATCTAAATAATCCGTATATATATATATACACACTAAAGGACTCTCACTGGATTATAAGTCTGCCTTAACCTGAATAGTAGGAAATATGCAAAACGTACATATAGTGGGCATGAGCATAGTTAGTGAAATACGGTATGAGAAAAATACGGGTACCAAAAAGTACGAATATAATTCGATATTTTTTTTTTTAAATACGTTTTAAAAATTCATTTAAAAAAAGAGAGGGAAATGTAAAAATACAAATACAGATGCGTACGTATATAATACGCTATATGCACTAAAAATTCGGGACCAAAAATTCGGCTATAAACATCTTATTATTTTCTTATATATCATATATTTGTAAGGACAATGAAGAATATATAACAAATAATAAAATAATTATATTACAATTAACATTATTACAATAATCATAACAGAAATAAACTATCTAAATATAACATAATCAATTCATCACAAAATTAATGAAAAAAATTTCTAATTCAATTAATCAACTATGTTACCCAAATTAAAAATAAAATGCAGCTGCTTGAACCTCTTAGGGTACTTTTGAATAAATTCCAATATCTCTGCCTTTTACCCCGGATAAATGTGATTTCACTATTGAAATACCTCCATAATAGTTAGAGTTTTGTTCAACATAATCCCAAAATGCATCATTTTTTTTTTCTTTTTTTTCATTTTTCCTTGATAGCCTATATATTTATAATAAATGCATAAATATATGGTGTGATACTTGTGAAAATATCTTTATATTCTACTAAAACATCTAGTGAATGTGGTGATTGACAAACTTCCAAAATAGTAATAATAAAAATAATAATAATAATAATAAAGATACTAACAAAATTTAAAAGATCTCAAAACAAAATAAAAAATTTATAAATGTCTACAAACATCAATAAAAATCTATAATTATTCAAAATTATAATGTTCCATAAGGTATATATATATGTTTCATTACTTTGATTAAAGATCAAGCATTGGATTGACAATAATAAGAGATTTAAAAAAATATATAGGTTGATAATAGAATAACTAAGTGGTCACAACCTTTTCCGAGATTGCACAACAAATAGTATTATTTGGATGGTATGAAAGAGAAGAGCTATACCAAACAAAAAACTGTGTGTTTGGCAAAAATACATCATTAGAAACGTGAACCAAATAAAAAAAACAGTTAGGTTACCCTAAAGTATAAACACAAATTAAACTGAACAACCAAAACAAATAAACGAATTAACGCATTACATACAGGATGATGAAAAAAAAACACATATTTTACCGTATCTTTCAACTCTAATCAGCAAACGGGAGTATTTTCTCAAAATTCGTACGTACGCGTTTAATTCGCGTATCATACATACGCGAATTTACTAACTAGGGGTATGACCTACCAGAGCATACATATATCCACTATATCCAGTTATGCATCCCCGGCAACATACGCACCTTAACCACTGATCTTGAGACTCAAGCTCATATCATGACGCATATCTATACATATATAAAATCAATCATATCCAAACATAAAAGTAAACTATCCAACCATATTATTTCAATGCAATGTCATCCAACTGGTTCCGTGGCTTGACACGAATAGTTATGACTTAACTTATAAGTTAATCCGTCCCTAAAATGTCCCCATATTATTTTAATGGTGCATTAATCCGTACAATCTAATAATTGACATAGCAGATAATAATACATCACTTAAATCCAGAAGTAAGCGTAAAAAAAAAAAAAAACAGATAATTAAATGATCAAATTATATTGTCAGTACATGATTAAAATCACATAAACATTCTCTGAAAATTGCTTGAACAATATTAAACAATTAAATCCTTCATTAACAACATTTAAACTAATTAAAATTTCATATTGTTCAAATCCTTGGCATATTAATATAGATTATGCATTATAGTATTTAACATGTCCATCGTAGTTATTTAAATCATTCATAACAACCTAGATAACTTTAAAATACCCTAAATACCAAAACAGTAGCCAAAAACCAACTTCTGCAAGGTTCCAGCAAGGGAGCTAGCTCCCTCCAAGCTGGCTCTTGGCCTAAGGGAGCAGGCTCCCTCCAAGAGAGAGCCAGCTCTCGACCTGCTACACTTCATTTTCTTCGTCTCTAGCGATCTTCGAACACTCCGATCACTTCCATTAAGGGTCCTAAACTTCTGTTCTAAGTCTCAGACAGTCTCAATTAATTTTATAAATCCATTATGCATCATTAACACAAGTTAAAAACAAGATTTCATTCAAGAATATTGAGCGAGGCCGATTGTCAAAAGCCTAAAAATGTAGTGAAAGTATGGTTCAAGAAAAGCCTTTTTGGTCAAATTTAAATTTATAAAAATCACTACTACTACTACTACTACTAACGTAGCAAGAGCGAGTAGGGATCGTCCTAAGGGATTGGCAAGGTACTATGGAATTGAATTCGGGTTAGTAGGTCGAATGATTAAGGAAGGTTTCGTTTGTTGAATTAAGCTAATGGTTTAATTAAAAATATGCAAATTAAGAATAATCTAAAGATTAAGGTATAGAGAATGAGATAGAAGTCTTGAGGCATAGACTTCACCACTAAACTTCACTTCACTAAACATTTAGCATTTGTTAATTTAGGGGGATTCCATGTTGTAAAATATGTGTGTGTGTGTGTATGTGTGTGTGTGTGTGTGTCATTAATTGAAATACTAAGCATGGATGACAAATTAAGCATAAATTGTCTAATCAATCTAGTGAATAGCACAATCTATCAAATTAAGCCATTGACCATTCAATAAACCCATAATTAATATACACACAAAAATCTATAGAAATGTATTACTTGCACTCATAAGCATGGATCATCAAACAACAAGAACGGATTGTCTACCTATCTAAAAATTTAAAACAACTAAACTACAACTATACTAATGACAAGGAAATTAAACTAATTAAGCTAAGGAGGTAGCACAATCCATCAAGAAATAAGAATAATCCATCAAACAAACTGCAAGAATAATCAATTAAGCACCATGCCTTGACCATCACTAGATTTATAATTACAAC